TCTGATCTCTCCCAGTTGCTGGTGCCTTCTCCTCACATTTGCTTGTATTTATTTTGCAAATTAATACGTGTAAATTACTGGAGGCCAAGAGTTAGTTCACTTTTGGTTTTGTATCTCTGGTGCCTGGTATACACAAAGTAGGTGCTTAATAAATGCTTGTTAATTGAGTGATTATTATGTGGTTTTTCAAATTCTTATTTTCAGTATAAAAAAATTAGAACCCCACCCCCCCCAAACAACACACACACTCCTGATAATCCCATACCAAAGCTTCGAAGTTACATGCTCTATCCCTATTTGGGAATATGATTATGTATTGTCTTACATTGTTTCCTATTTTACAAATATTTCTTCTTTTCGCCCATCCACTGGGAAATGGCTGAAGAAGTGACAGTATATCAACGTAATGGAACATTATTCCACCACTAAGAAATTATGAAAAGGAAAGATTCAGAGAAAATTGAGAAGACTTGTGTGGACTGATGCTGAGAGAAGTGAGCATGGCCAGGAAGATGTAAGAACTCTGATCCATCCAATGATCAACTACTACTCTGGAAAACCAATGCAGCGTACTTTCCACCACTTGGCAGAAGCTTTAGGTACAGAATGAAACAAACATTTTCAGACACAACCAATGTATAAACGCATTTGCTTGATTACTCTTATTTATTTGGGGGGGGGGGCTTTTATGGGTTGTTCCAAACAGCTTTAATAGCTTAAAACTGCACTAAGGTTTTTAGAACAAACTATATTTTAGGAAGAGTTAGAGATGATGAGGGATAGTATCCATGACACAAAAAAGGAGAAAAGAAAGAAAAGATCTTCAATTAAACATTTAAAAACACACAGAGGAAAACAGAAGGAAGTTCAGAAGGAAACATTAGATAAGCAGGGTAATGTAGATACGATTCTGTTAAATTTGCTACCTGTGGTGGGGTGTTTTTTTTTTAATTGTAAATAACAGAAATTCACTATGTCACATGCAAATCTTTTTTCTGTTCTGTGTCTGTGGAAATGTTCACATTTGGCATTATTTCCCAAGTTTGTCATTTAGTAAGGGAAAAAATTTTGAATAAACCAATTTTTATTTCCATAAGATTATAGGTTCATAACACATACTTTTGTATTCAGCATTATAAATCCTCAAAATTTTGTTAAATTGAACTGAAAAGGCCCCAAAACATTAACATTACACATGAGATTGGTTATTATAACTTGCAAAGGATGTGTTCAATACCACAATGTAAAGCCTGTTATAAATTGAGACTATATTGCATTCTTTTTTTTTTAGTGTTTTAAAATAACCATACGAGAACTGATACATATAAATGATCGTAGCTGCCAGTGCTAAAAAGTCATTTTCTTTTTTCAGAATTTTGCCTTTAGGTGTTAGCTAACAAACTCCAAGATTTAGTCTTATTGCTTGGGCTCCCTGGTCTGGACTGCCATCAAAAGGTTGGTTGTGGCTGTTGGGAAAACTCAAACCCACCCACTAAGTCTAATGGTTTATACTGCCCTTGTTGAGGACACTCAAAAGACTGTACCATCAGTTTTCAAGGCAATTTCAAATACCATTTGAGCAACTTAACAGCTCCAGGTATTAAGTTCCTTCCAAGGTGCTTACTTTGAAAGGGACAGCACCTAGATAGGAGGTAAGTGCTGGCTCACATGGCTGGTTGCTAAGAAACCAGGCATCTTACTTTATAGTCACACCTTCTAGATAAGCAGAGATGGCAAACCAATGTTATTATAAAACCTTAACATCCATCTCACGCACAAAAACAGAACAAATGCTGATGCTACTTTCCAAGAATGTTTCTATTCCCTAGCTTTTAAGTCTTAGAGTAAACACACACTTCAAACCCAGAAAAGATATGGGAGGAAAAAAAACAGCTATCTGTCCTCTTTGGAATATAACTAACATCTACAAACTACAGGGGACTCCCTATGATGATCCTGGCATCCCTGGAGGCCTGGCTTGTACTAGGTCCTGACTCTCATCATGCTGAGACAGAACAGTACTGGACAGGATGCTACCAAAGATTTTGCAGGGCAGAGTTCTCTTTTTCAAGGTATTGAAAGAAATGGCCACATTCTAAGGCCAGATATGAAACCAGTCATCTCAATAAACGAGAAGAAATTGAGGTGCATGTTTATCACGACACAAACAAGGCCATACACCAATTATTAGTTTGTGAGTCTGTTACCTACCACGAAGGGCCGAAAGTGTGGAAATCAGTTTCATTTGTGGTTCATCTCTTTCCATCTGGATTTTCAACATGCAACTCAACTTAGGACGGTATCTGAGCAGGGCTGTGACTAGAAGTACTCAGCCTTAGGGCCAAATGTTCTCCAAGCTTCCAGGAGATAGCCAGTCAACAAGCATTTTTATCAAGCTCCTACTACGTGCCAGGCACGGGGCTGAGCACTGGTTTCATATCCTCCTCAGAGGCAGTGGGAAGGGGCAAAAAGTTCCCTAAAATGGGAACAAGGGGTAGTGAGGGCTCTAAAGGCAGGCCAAGTTCATAGCATTTTGATACCCCAAAAAATGATACAGCGAGTCACTTCCTTCTCTGGACTGAAGGTCACAAGCTTTTAAGGGACAATGGAGTTCAGTGTGAGCAGGAAGATGAGGATAGTCAGATGAGAATGGGAGGGGCAGTAAGAGAGGGAGAGCCTGGTGGGGGGCTGGGAGGAAACATCAGTGGGGCAGATGAATAGGGCACAAGGGAGGACCGTGTCCTAGGACAGGATAATGGGAGGGCCTAGCTTTGAGAACACAGGCCCAATCCCTCCAACTAAAGTCATTAACTAGTTAGTGAAATCATGATGTCCAGTGAAGGGCACGATATAGACTTTCCATAAAGGATGATGGGTTTGCCTGCTGATGGTGAGACTTAGCTGTAATGCATGCATTCATGATGCTATTCAAATCAGGTTAGTAACCTTAGCAGGGCAGGCCTGTCCCTGGCTCTTCCAGGTTCTCCTTTCAGGTCAGGGTTGCTAAATAACTTCAGTGGCTAGTCTGAATCAGACAGAGAACTGAGGGCTAGAGATGGAGGTGCAAGGAAGAGGGAATAACCTGGCTTACGACACTCTAACCAAGAAAGGTAAGCCAGGTATCCCTGAATGAAGGTCTTAGGGAGGGGGATCCATTTATCAGTCTGGGACTGCATCCCACCCTTAGAAAACAAAAACTTTCAGTAAAAGAATAAAAGCATAAACAAGAGGATTTTTTAGTAGGGGCAGGGAAGTTCCTGGGGGACATGACATGAGGTGACAAGAGATACTGAGGGACCAACCACCAGGTCTTTCTTCCCAGAGCAAAAAAAGAAACCCTCTCCTGGGGTGAGGAACTTGGGGTGGCAATGGTACCTTAAGCAGGAAAAAGGGAGGGAGCTGAGCCTATGGCAGGTGAGTTAGGGGAGCTAAAATGGAGGTGGGTGATTAGAGATGGGTGGTGATGCTGTGAGTGAAAGAAAGTAAAGGATAGGAGAAAGGGGACAAGCACTGTGGGAGGAGCGGAAGGACAACAGAGAGCAACCCATTTCTCTGGATGAGGGAATAAGAGAAGCTGGTGTTCTATAAATCGAGGGAAAGAGTGTGGGACCCAGGCCCTATAGTGTAGGGACAAGGGACCTAGAGGGAAGATCACTGTCAGTTGGGTGGACTGGAGCAACAAAGGAGGCCTAAATGGGTTGGAGGGAGGTGCAAAGGGGCTAGGGTCTGTTAATAAGGCGTGTGAGAGGCTGGGACACTGAGAGAGTGTGAAGGGCTGGGGTATTATAACCAGAGGAGTAAGGGACCATGAGGTGTGATAAAAGGTGTGTGTGTGTGTGTGAAGGGGGGATGGTCGCTGCATCTAGGGTGTATGAGGGGCCAGGGTCACTGTAAATAGAAGGGCTACTCTGGAAGCAACAGGTGTGAGACGGCAGGGTTGTTCGGGGACTGAAATCCTGTGGGGAACAGGTAAGGGATGAAAGCCCGAGTTGCAGTAACTGGAAGTGGGTCAGAGGCCAGGGGGAATGGCAACAGGAGCCGCAGAGAGACTGAGGGGGCAGGGGCATGGGGGAGAGGTGGGGCACTGAGGGGAAAAGGGGAAGTTGAGCCACCCAGGAGCCTCCCCAGGAATGGGGAGGGATGGAGGGAAAGGCAGGTGTCACGGGGATAGGGAAGCAGGGACCATTTGATTACAGGAGTCCAGGAGAAACGGATCTGTGATGGGGAGGGCTCCAGGGGCAGGGGAGCATTGACAGAGGTCGAAGAGCTGGGGTGCTGGAAGGGAAGGGTTTTTTGATGGGGATGGGTCCTGGAACAGGGACAATGTAATGGGGGAGAGGATAAGGCGCAAAGGCACTGTGATAAAGGGCAGGGTCACTGTGATAGCAGAGACTTCTAGATACGGGGTCTTTTGTGATGAGGGAGGGGTCCAGGGGTGCTGTGATGCTCCAAGGGCAGGGTCTCTGTGATGTTGTGAGGAGAGCACAGGGCTGCTCTGAGGAAGGAGGGATTTAAGTGCAGGGGGCTCTGTAATGGGGAGGCAGGGGTTTCGTGGATGTAGGGGAGACAGGAGCTGCTGTGAGAAGGGAGGGGTCCAGAAGCAGGGGCTCTTGAAGTGGGGATGCGGGCGCTCAGGGGTGCTGCGATGGTCTAGGGGCAAAGGCTCCTGATGGGGGCAGGTCAGGGACACTGTGACGATCCAAGGGCAGGAGTACCTGATGGGGGGGGCGCAGGGGTACTGTGACGGTCCAGGGGCAGGGCCTCCAGATGGGGGGGGCGGGGGGGGGCGCTGTGAGGCGGCGGGGGCGGGGGTTGTGGGGGGGGCGGCGCGGGGGCGCTGTGATGTTGGGGGGCCTGGCTGGGCGCGGTCCCCGCTATCGCGCCGCTGGGCGCTGCGGGCCTAGGCCTCGGACGGAGGCCGGCCCCGCTCCCCCCCTTCCCCACCCCCCCGCGCCCGTCGGGGCGGACACACCCACCTCCCCGCAGGCCCGGCCTCTTACCAGCTCCTCGTCGTGGGTCAGCTCCGGCGCCATGTCGAGCCAGGGCCCCGGCCCCGGCTGCGGCCCCGCCTCGGTCCCCGGCTCCATCGCGGAGAGCGGCGGCGGCGGCGGCGGCGGCGGCGGCTCGGGCCGCCAGCCCAACCCCCGCCCGGCCTGGCCTGGCCCGGGCCGGCGCTGCCCGGCCCTAGTCGGCCTCCGCCTCCTGCGCCCTCGCCGCCCCCGCCCCCGTCCCCCGCCGCGGCCAGATGTGGCCGCGCGCCCCCGGCCCCAGGTGTGCCCGGGCCGGCGCTCTCCAAGGGCACTGCGGGCCGGCCAGTCAAAAGCAAAACAAAACAAAAATCAGAGCCGAGGGGAAAACAATCGGATTGGAAAAGGTAAAGGGGGGCGGGGGAGACCTCCCTCTTTCCCCCGCGCCTTTTCCTAAGCCTCGAACCCCCTCGCCCCTTCCCCCTTCCTCGCTATTTACTTCTGCTTCTCGGCCCCTCGACTCCCCCCACGCCCCCAGCCATAGGCAGGCAGCCACGCATGGTCCTGCCTTTCTCCCAGGCTCACTAGAGGGGGTGATGAGGAATCCTCTAACTCTCCTCTTGCCTCATCCCTCTGCAACCCCCCCCCAAAAAAAAAACAACAACAGAGGAAGCGAGTATTGTACGAGAAAAAAAGAAAACCTTCAATGAAAAAAAAAATAAACTTTTTCAAGCCGTGACCTAGAGGTTAGCGCTTGAAATCCCCCTGAAACAGACGAAAATACCCTGTGCTTGCCACCTCCCCGCTCCTCTAGTCCGACCTTCCAGAATACTCCTCCTCTAAGCCTGTAGATCCCCTCCGTGTTTGACCTGCCCGGAGAGAATCCAGACCCTACCCCGCCACCTCCGTCTCTGCCTCCCCAAGACCTTATTCCTCAAAAGCAGCCACGGAGAAAGAGAGAAAAGAGGAAGGAAGGCTAAGACATCCCCCTCCCCTTCTCACGGCCAATGCTGCCGCCCCTGATCATCAGCCCGAACCCCCAGCAGCTCCATTCAGAAACTGCCTCATTCACAAACAGCGGGAGAGGAGGAAGCAGGCAGAGAAGAGGGTCTCTCCAAGAGAGGGAGACAGAGAGGAATCCGGGAAGGGAGGGAGGAGAGGAAGAGAGGAACTGGGTGGGGGAGGGGGATGGCAGAATAGGGCTTTGGGGGAGGGAGAGATCTCCCTGGGGGTTGAAGGAGCAAAGCGGAAAAAGAGACTGTCTGTGGGAGGAAGATAAAGGGAGAAAGGAGTATGTGTTTTCAAAAGAGACTCGATGCTCCGTAGTGGAGGAAGGGAATATATTACAAGTCTGAGAAGTCTCCACTGAGATGAATTTTAACTTGGATTAACTTTCAGCTACCACCCAAATGTTTGAAACCCACAAGCCTCTTTCACTGCCGATGCCAATTCCAGGCTGAATGAGACCCTTAAAGAGGTTGCCAAACAGGGCAAGCACACTTTGGGTCCAAGCAACCAGCCTGTTTGATCACTGTACCATCTCTCTATTTTGTTGCTGGCTGTATCCTGTAATCCATCATCGACTTGACTATTTTTAGTTCTCCCAAAAGAAAACATCCTTCTCCAAACCTTTGCCTCATTCAGGAATCTCTGTGCTTTCGAAAGTCTTTGAGTGTCATTCAGATTTCACATAGCTAAAAGAGCTATGTTACTGGGTTGCCAGTTTAGGGTGACAGAGGAGGTTAATGCTATGCTCCCCCACCCCCATGGTTGTGGATCACGCCACAACTGAGAATTAGGGAATTATCACCTCTACAATCAAACATTTTTTTAAAAATACCTACTATGTGCCAGGCATACAAACACAGATGTGAAAAGTCCCAGCCCTTTAAGTAGGAAGTTGGGAAGGGGGAGAACAACGGAGAGGTATAAGTATATGCAAAATAAATACAAGGTCACTTTTTCAAGCAAAAGCACTGGCATTTGGACTGCTTTGGGAGGAAGGTGGTGCTTGAGCTGGAGGATCTAGAGGATTCTGAGAGATGGAGGTAAGGAGGGAGTCCATCACTGGAAAAGGGGACAGTGAACAAAGGCGCTCAGGAGGGACGTGGAGCCTCATGTCTGAGGAAGAACAGTAAGAAAGCCAGTTGGGCTGGCCTCTAGAGTTCAGGGAAAGGACTAGAGCTAGCTAATATTTAGATTTTGTTTTTTTAACATCAGATTTTAGAGATCTTTCATGAGGGATCCATGATTAAGCCAATGCTTAAGCAGCTAAACTAGTAACCCAGACCATTAGCAACTCAGGCCTTGATCCAGACACCCTATAGTTTCAGATCCTAGAAACCCTTTAGGTCACAGAGCAGTAAGACTTTTGACTGAAAGACAAAGACAGGGCTAAGCAGCTATGGAAAAACTCAGTCTTCGTTCTAATCCCATTTAGATATCTGTTTTGAGAAAGTTACCTAGCCTTGCCTGAGTTTCCTCATCTGGATTTTGGGTATACTGTCTAACCTCCATGCTGGCAACTTCAATATTTTATTTGACTCTATCCCTCTTCCCCATCTCGAATTTCCATCTAATCAATTACTAAGTTCTGGCAATTCTCCCCCTCCAATATTGTCTTGAATTCATCACCACTTTTCTACTGCCACTGCTGTAACCCTGCTGCAAGCTCATTACACCAGCCTGCACTACTGCCACACCTCCTAATTTGTCTTCCTACCTCCATTCTCTTCCTAGTCAAATCCCATTTGCCGCTGACAATTATGCTTATACAGATCTGACAAATGTCACTCCTCTCTGTTCAGCACCCTCCCATCGCTCCCTATGGCCTGTTGAGCAATCTGGGTTTCAAGGCCCTTTATAATGACACTGTTCCTGCTTCTTCCCTGAGGCAGCCAAACATTTGCCATGGTCAAGCATTTTGCACCTTTGCTGATGCCCCCTGTGGTTCTCCAGCTGTCTCAGACTTTCTTCATCTCAACCCAGATTTCAAGGCTCAGCTCAAATGCTTCCTCTTCCAGGATAACATTTTGCCTCTCCTTTGTAGAACTCTAGTTATTATAGAGCATTGCAGATTTGTACATGTTTCCTAGTGCCTAGGACAGTGCATTGCACATCGTAAGCATTTAATCAATGGTTGCTGAATGAATGAATGGACGAATGAAGCAATTTGGGGACATTTGGTGCTTGGTAATGAAAGATTAGGCCCGTTGCCATTTTGTGGGATATGTATTTTATTCTGTGTAAGCATTACAGAACTAGGACAGTTACAAAATCGGTACAAGATTGACTCTTCCTGAGGGCAGGCTCTGTTATTTAATTTGTTTGTGGGCTGTTGGAGAAATCAGACATGGTCTGTGGCCTCAAGGCTCACAAATCCAAACAACACAATTCATACCAAGCCTGAAGTAGGGTAGTGGTTAAATCTCTTGGTGGGACTTTCTTTTCTGAAGCACTGGGAACCCAGGCTTCACAGAAGCAGCCAATGTTCTAGAGGGATTTGGAGGAGGCTGGGGACACACTGGAAGCTAGCTAGGGAGACAAGAGGGAGGCTGTTTGGGGGATGGGGGCAGGGTAAGCCACAGGCACTGAGCCAAGTGGGAAAAGGCGATAAAAGGGCACAGCAAGTCTCAGACAGAGCATAGTAATAATTAATAATAACTTGGATACTCTTTCAAAGAACTCAGAGGATCAGGTGGGACCCAGAGAGGTAGTATGACAAAGCACTGAATGTGATGATAAGCTAGACTGGTTTTAGAGAATGAAAAGGCAACTTGATGAAAGAAGGGAAAAAATCCTAACCAGAAGAGGGATGAATTTGAGAGAGGATAAGAGGGAAGGAGACAGCTTAGTCTGGTCATCTAGTCCCACCCCTTCATTTCAAAAACATGTGTTTAATATGATTGTACATGTATAATCTAGATTGGAGAGGGAGGGAGAAAAAACTTGAAACTCAAAATCTTGTAAAAGTGAATGTTGGAAACTATCTTTACATGTAATTGGGAAAAATAAAATGCTGTTAAGTGGGGGGGAGGGAGGAGGGGGAAGCCATATATACAGAACTGATTAAACATGACCAGATTAACAACATGTAGTAAGTAGAGCACAGTTAGGTCCTGGGGAGTTAACAAGAGTCAGCAGTCCCAACAGCTTCCTGAAACAACCAGAATTGGAGCCAGTCTATGAGATCTAATCTGAGAGCATACTCTGTCCTGACATCATCACAACAATGGGAACTATCTACAGACTTCCGTCTAGAAGCATCATAGACTCTGAGTTGGGAGGAACCTTGAAGGTTGCCTAGTCTCACCCTGTCTTTTTAGAATTAAGCATCTGTAAATCAGGGACTACCTGTATTTCAAGCCAAGCACTTACTAAGCACCTACTGTGTGTATTAGGTGCAGGGGACTGCCAGCCCTATTTTACAGATAGATGAGCAGAAACCCTGAAAGGTGAGTGGACCTGCCTATGATGGAAGGCATTGGGAGCTGAGATTTAGATCCAGCTGTGGTTTCAAGGGCTGGCGTGGGTGGGTGACCTCTGGGTGTTTGGGAAAACGGGGTAGCAACAGGCAACAAGGAACGAGGAGGGTGGATTGCAAAGGGGATGGAGGGAAGACCTGGCTTCCTGCTTCTGATTTCAGAAGTATTACCAGCTGCTATCTTTCGAGTTGGAGTGTATGCCAGTGGCCCCTGATGGAGGGACCTAGTAAGGATGGGTTGTATTTAATTAAGTCATAATCAGCTAACCAGCCCAATGGGAAAGGCTATCTGGAGTGGAAGGTCAAAAGCCACAGCAAACCTCAGTCACTGACACTCCGTGGCTTAACCCAGAATGCTCTTTTGTCATTGTTGTTCAGTCTCGTCCAACACTCTGTGAAAACCACATTTGGAGTTTTCTTGGCAAAGATATTGGAGTGGTTTGCCATTTCCTTCTCCAGGTCATTTTACAGATGAGGAACTGAAGCAAACAGGGTTAAGTGACTTGCCCAGGGTCACACAGCTAGTAGTGTCTGAGGCCAGATTTCAACAAAGGAAGTTGAGTCTTCCTGACTTCAGGCCTGCACTCTGTGCCCTATGGCACCACCTAGCTGCCCCCAGAATGCTCTATTTTTCCTTAAATTGTGTAGCTACATGTAGTCCTGGAAA